GCTCTTTGACTTGCCTCTCCAACTCCTTGGACTCCTCAGGGCTCATTCGGTAAGCTGGTTTGTTTGGTAAAGTTGCTCCCGGTATGAAGTCTATTTGGTGTTCTATGCCTCGAATTGGTGGCAATCCTTCAGGCATTTCTTCAGGGAACACATCTTTAAACCTGTCAAGTAAGTCAGTGATCTCCGGTGGTAGTTCAAGTTCACCTAAACCTGCGCTCAAAAGCTCCTTAAAGATCATTAGTAGCATTGTGTGTTTAGCAGCAAAAACTTTTCTAACATAGCTAGGCTGAACAAGAAAATTTGACTTAGAGATACTTTCTTTTTCTTTAAGCATTTGCATTTGTAGTTCATGCACTTGTGATGGTGTAAGAGGTGCTAAACTAACTTTTCTTTTGTTATGCATAAGAGTATACATATTAGTCCTACCATCATGCTTAGTTTCTCTATCAAATTGCCATGGCCTACCTAACAATAAATGACCAGCTTGCATAGGAACTACATCGCATAAAACTTGATCTTGATATTTTCCTATGCTAAATGGAATGGTGACTTGATCGGTAATCTTAAGCTCTACCTTATCATCGAGCCATCTCAGCCTATAGGGCCGTGGATGCTTAGTTCTCTCAAGGCCTAGCTTATCAACCATGTGAGCACTTGCAACATTAGTACAAGACCCACCATCAATAATAAGATTACATACCTTCCCCCTTTATAGTGCAACGGCTGTGAAAGATGTTCTCTCTTTGTATGGTCTCGGCTGGCTCCACCATTACACTTAATACACGTCTAGTGACAAGGAGCTCTCCTGTGTCTGGATAAGCTATGTCACCATACTCATCGTCTTGATCTTCTTGAACATCAGCTTCATCATGTGACTCATAGTCTCCAGCCTCGGTCATGAGCATCACTCGATTGTTTGGACACTCGTGAGACATATGACCTCTTCCCCTGCATTTGAAACAAGTAATATCTCTTGCACGCTGAGGGTTATTAGTCTTACCTGCCTCTGGTCTGGTGTCTTTGCTTGTTTCAACCGCCTTGCCTTTGAAACGTGAATCAATTTCCACACTCTTGCCTTTGTCGAGTGGTTTGTTGAAGTTGGTGTTCCAAGTGGTTTGCGGCTTGCTTCTAGTGTTGGAGATCTTCTTCTTGATGTGTTGTTCTGCCTGTATAGACAAATGGAAAAGATCTTTGAAGTCTTGATATACCTGTCTCTCCACTTTGCGGCTGATCCTCTCTTGTAAGCCATCAAGGAATTACGCCATTAGAGCTTCTTCATCATCATTGAGCTCTAATCGGTTCCTCAAGCGCTCAAACTCCTCATAGTATTCTTCTACGGTCCTGGTTCCCTGTTTAAGAGTTCGAAAACGATGCTGTAAGTCTCGGTAAAAATGAGGAGGGACATACCTTTGCCTCATTAGGTCTTTCATGTCGACCCATGTATCAATAGCTCTCAAGCGGCTTCTCTTTCGGTCTGATACTTCTCTATCCCACCATGTAAGTGCACCGTTGGTGAGCTGAGCCACTGCTAGTGCTACTCTCTTTGGACCAGGGTGATTGTAATAGTCGAAGATGTGATCCATCCTCTTCTCCCAATCTAGATAAGCCTCTGGATCAACTTTTCCAGCAAAGTTAGGTGCCGTCAGCTTGATGTGGTTCTGGTTCTGTCTAGAGTAGGGTGTATACTCTTCGTCATCAGCATCTCCATAATCATCTTGTGGCACACGTCGCCTTTGCCCGCAGTGTCTTTGATGCCTAGGGTTTGGCTCTTCATCTTGAGAAGAGTCGTCTTCGGTCATTTGTGGTTCGTTGATGCGCACTCCGTTGTGCCTTGGATTGGTTCCGGTGTTCTGAGTGGGGTTGGGGCCTTTTCCTAATCCTCCATTATGGCGAGTTGGCTGTAGAGTTACCCTTGGTGCTTGCTCCACACGGCTAAGTCTATCTCCAAAGTCTTGCCTTAAGGCCTTGATCTCGTCTCTCATAGAGATTATTAGTTGATGAAGAGGGTCTTGTGCATTGCTGCTCTCCTCTCCCATAGTTGCTTATGGATTTTGTTTCTCGCAAAACAAAAACACAAGATAAAGGGTATTTGCTTAGTTCTGATCAAAAAAAAAAAAAAATGGAAAGTCTTGTAATGTACTTTCTCTTTTTTTTTTTTTTTTTAACTTGGAATGACAACTAAACAAATAAGGAAATTGGTGCTGTCTAAATAATTAACAACTTAGCAAGAGAATGAATTTAAACGTGATTGAAACAAATAAGGAAAGTCTGACTTGATGCACCTAAACTTGGAATTCGACACAACAATTCAGGACAAATTTTTTTTTTTTTTGACTTTTCTCTGATGAAACAACTTAGACAATAATCAAAATGAATCAAATGACTAGTAAAATTATAATGCAGGAAGAACACAAAAATATATGATATGATTTTTTTTTTTTAATTTAATATGATGCAATGAAACAAATGACTAAATGGAAATGAAAAGATGTAAATAGATAGATAAAACCTGGGCTGAAGGAACTTCAGCTCTGATACCAAAAATGATACAAGCACCAAGCTGTCAAGGACTTGTATAGAATCGGAAGCAAAGCTTTAGGTCGATGGCCAAGGGTTGATTCAAATGAATGAGCAACTCTAGACAAGTGAATCGATGTGGTGGCTAAGTGACAAGGTGGATCGAAGTGTACCACACAAGTTGTGTAAGACTTGTGATAAAACACGAGAACTTTGATCTAGGAGGTACTGGTCTCAACTAGTGCAAAGGGTTAAACAAGTTTCTCTCAAAGAAAACTGGTTTGAAGAAAGTTCAATTTTTTATTGATATCAAAGGTGAAAAATTACAAGGCTGTAATGGGACCTTATATAATGGTCCTAGCAGCTTAGACTCAAAGAAATAAAAAGACTCAAAATAACATGACTTTAAAAGTAAAGACTCAAAACAACAGGACTTGTAAATTAAAAATGCTAAATTAAAGGACTCAAAAAAAAGGAAATAAAAGACTAATTAAATTGTCTCAGCATAAGACCAAAGACAAGAGAAACTCATTAGTCAAAGAATTGAAATTTGATTGAACACTTACCTTATTTGGTGGCCGAGACTAGTGTGTCTTTGACTAGACTTGAATCTTCCCTCTTAAGTGTCTTGGTTCATTGGTGAGATAGTCAGCATGTAGACTTGGGCTTGATTTGGTAAAAGGGGCCAAATATCTTGACTCTTTGAAGCTGGACCGTTTGTTAGCTCTTGGCATTCTTCAAGTAGTCCGGTCCAAGCTTGTTGTTGATGGGCTTCATTATGCGGCTCCACTTGTTCATGGTCTTCTCTCGGCCTCTCTTGATCCACTTGAGACATTGCTTGTAGCATGCTTTGGTTGTACTTGTATTGAAGAATCTTAGCTCTTTGTCTTGTTATTGGGCCTTCATGAATGACTGGTATTTCGACATTTTGTAGTTGTGGCTCGGTTAAGTCTGGCTCAGCTTGAATGGCCTCATCACAAGGGTTTTGCTAGAATCGGTTTTTGTAAAGATTTTATCGTGTTTTGAATCGAACATTCGCCAGAGATATCCCTGTCGACCGAACATTCATTTTAAATTGCTTCCGACCAATTTTTATATATTTGTTTTGCATTCTTTACAGTTTTGTTGACACCCAGAACCCTTTTAAACCCTTTTTTCTTTTAGACTTCCTTACTAATTCTCTTTCTAAAGTATTTTGTAGAAAAACATGTACTTCTTGTGGATTGACACGATAAGAACTATCGTACTAGTGCGCATTTACAGACGCCTAGGGTTCTATAAATTTATTACCTGAAGCTGAACTTAATCCGACAGCATCACAGCCAGACTAATGACGTCAAGGTAGTGCTTAAGCTATTCAAGATCACCATCTTCCCCAGGTTTGGAATTCCAAGAGTTTTGATAATTGATGGGGGTTTCTACTTCATTAACAAGATATTTGAAAGTCTCATGAAGAAACACGGAGTGAAAAACAAAGTGGCTACACCCTACCATCCCCAGACCTTAGGACAAGTAAAAGTCTCCAAGAGGCAGATTAAATTTATACTTGAAAAAACAGTTGGGAAAACAAGGAAATTTGGGCATTGAAACATGATGATGCTTTGTGGATATATAGAACTACCTACAAGACGCGTATTGGAACAACACTATTCAATCTTGTCTACAGAAAGTCTTGTCACTTACCTATTGAAATGGAACACAATGCGCTATGGGCAACCAAGTTCCTGAACTTCGATTTAAAAACCGCTTTGGAAAAGAGAATGGTATAACTGGATGAGCTTGAGGAAATATATAAGGCGTTCAAAGCTCTACAAGGAAAAGACCAAAGTCTTTCATGACAAGAAAATTGTAAAGAAGGACTTCAAGAGTCGGAGATATAGTCTTGTTGTTCAACTCAAGAGTGACGTTTCTCACTAGAAAGCTAAAGTAAAAATGGCCAAAATCGTTCAGCATGCAGGAGATACGACCTTATGGAGCACTGGTATTGAAAAAATCTTGTTTGGGAGAGCGAATGTATTTGGACAGTCCTTGTGAAACTGTAGTGTGTGTCGACAATTTGTACTGTTATACATAATGTAATAATTTGAATTTCAATATACTGCTTAAATTTATATTTCATAATTAAAATATGAAAATGTTATAGTTCTTTTGAAAATGTTGTGTCTCGACTACTGAAAATGTTATACAATGCTTTAAAATATTTAAATAATTTAAATTTCAATATACTACTGAAAATGTTATAGTTGTTTTAATTTTTCTCAATTGTTCTTCAGATGTTGACCAATTGCACCTCAAATGAACAATACTAGAAAAGAAAAATGTATGTTACATGGATGACTAAAAAAACAGATAAACAATGACATTAAACTTCATAAACTATAAAATGGAGGGAGTAATTAGTTTAACCGTAAACAAAAATAGAGTTAGCTGTAGTCAATTAAGTGGCTAATTTCAGACAAACCTGGTTTAAAGGAAAGACTTTCCTTTTCCCAGACATTATCCGTCAAATCCGGCATGATGGGGCGACTGTCGGCTTCTCGGATGTCCGGAGTCGGACTTGGTATCGCCGCGATGTCATATGTGGCGATTGATTACATGAGATACTTGTCTCCAGCTTGGCATTCTCGTCTTATGCCAGTTCTCTGGTCGGTCCTGGCTCTCGCCGTCGTCACACGTGTTCCGTTCTACAAGCACTGGTCTTCTGAGCTACGAGCAGCGATCCCTTTCCTCACTTCCATCGTCTTCTTGCTTTCTGCTCTTCTCTTCGAAGCTCTTTGTGTTCGCTCCGTCACGGCCGTTCTCGGCTTAGATTGGCACCGGTAAGTTCAAGATCCGTTTCAAATTTCATTAAAATTTTGATTTTTTTTACTGTAATTTGACTTTAGCTTAGCTGTATCAGATTTTACTCTACTGCTTCTGATTTGAGTAGAACATGGTTTGACTTGAATATCGATCATATTTCTAAGTGTGATTTAGAATCTTGATGTCAAAAAAGAAAAAAAAAAAGTGATTTAGAATCTCGATTGAAGTTTTAGTCGCAATCAAGTGAAATTTGAATATAGCTTCTCAAATTTCAATTGAGTATAGTTTATCAAAGTTGAAATTTTGTAAACTGTAATGTGTCACATGATAAAAGTTTATCAAAACTGGTTGATGAAAATCAATCAAGTGATATTTGAATATATCTTATCATCATTACTGTAATATTTGTTTTGAAGGTTTATGCATTTCTGTAACTATATCACTATCACTTTATCAGTATCGTATGAGAAATATTAGTAGGTATGTTCAAGTTTCGATTCGTTTATTCAATTGATGGAGCAATCAAGTGATCTTGCTTATCAACATTTTAGTAATCTTTTGTTGAATCTCTATGCAATTCTGTGGCTATATCATCATTATGAGAAATATTAGTTGGAATATTTAAGTTTTTATTCATTATTTTTTAATTGCTGGAACAATCAAGTGAACTTTGAAAAAAGCTTTTATCAACATTATAGTAATCCTATTTTTTAATATTTATGCATGTCTGTAATCATTATCATTTCGTAAAAGAACTATGTTAATAGGAATTTCTAAGTTTCCATTCATTTATTAAATTGATGGAGCAATAAAGTTTAAATTTGAATGTAGTTTTCCAACATTATAGTAAGCTTTTGTTGATTGTTTATGCATCTCTTATACTATACTATTATCATTATGAGTCTCGTATGAGAAATATATGTAGGAATGCGTAAGTTTCTATAAAAAGAATTCAATTGATGGAGCGGTCAAGTGAAACTTTCAATATAGCTTTATCAGTAACAATAATCTTCATTTGTATGTTTTGCATGTTTGTAACTATGTTTACATTATAAGAAATATTAGTATAAATGATAAATGATTTTATCTTTGATAGGGATACTTCTCCACTCCCTGACACAGGCCAATGGTTCCTACTTGCACTAAACGAGAGCCTTCCCAAGCCAATTGTGGAAATCCTGAGAGCTCATATCATCGGATTGCACCATTTTCTTATGCTGTTTGTGATGTTGGGTTTCTCGGTAGTGTTCGACTCAGTGAAAGCTCCGGGTCTAGGATTAGGCGCACGATACATATTTACCATGGGATTGGGCCGTCTTTTAAGAGCTATAACGTTTATATCTACTATCTTACCTTCAGCTCGACCTTGGTGCGCCTCAGCCCGGTTCAACAACGTTCCCTCTCATCCTCATCGCTGGGCTCAGAAATATTACGTCCCTTATGCTAAAGACCCTGCTGCTATACACCAGCTCCTCAATTGGGATGAGGCTTACGGTAATATCCAGTCTCAGTTCACTTACTACTTAGGCCTTGATTGCTTGTTTCTGTTTGCTTGCTTTTGCGTTCACATGTTACAATAGGCATATTTAGTACGTTATACAAAATTTCTATTTTGGCACTTCTTTGTCGTTGGCATTTACAACGAATGATTTGGTTTTTGAAAATGTGAATGCTTTTTCTCGTGTAAACCCAGTTTGAAACAAATGATTTGAAGAATTTATGGTTCACTTGAGTAAGTCTTTTTTTTTTTTTTGGTATTACCAGCTGATCCAGGAAAATACATTGGTGACTACAGACCTGATTGGGGTTCAATGAGCTTCCTCGGTGAGTTCTTGAGACCGAGTTATTCTGAAGGGTCTTCATGGTTTGGTCTACTAAAGAAAGCTGGAGGTGGTTGTAATGACCTCTTGTACAGTGGCCACATGCTTGTAGCTGTACTAACTGCTATGGCTTGGACGGTATATATCGTTTTCTTCCTTTCACATAAAATTCCACCACTTGTTAGCTTAATTGTGGTTGTATCAGTCAATGTTTCTTTTTCAATAGAGTCTCTATTTTACTTATTTCATAACTACTTACGATTTTAACTTAGTTCACGTTGGATGATTATTAATATGGATGTAGTTTAGTTTGTGAGATGGATCCAAGCCAGAGAGTGGTTTGGAGGTTTTGTCGGGTTAGGCCGAGAAGTAGAGAACATAGTTCTCTTGGGAATTTTTATTCTTGTTACATTATTATTAATATAGAGAGCTTCCTTTAACTCTTATCATTTTGTTAGATTTCTATGAGACCTAAACCATTATGCGGTAAAATCATTAACAGGAGGCTTACGGAGGTTTCTCTTCCGCATTGATATGGTTGCTCGTGGCACACAGCGCGCAGAGGGAGATACGAGAGCGCCACCACTACACAGTAGACTGCGTTGTGGCGATTTATGTTGGTATCCTTCTGTGGAAAATGACGGGTTTTATTTGGTCAGTCAAGAGAAAAACGAAGCAGACAACAAAACTAGAGAAGATTCAGAACAGGCTGATTCACGCTGCGAAGGATTCGGATATGGAGACTGTTAGGAGACTTGTTGAGGAGATAGAGGTAAGCCTCGGGGAAGACAAGCAGGGTAAAGTCGTCTCGAACCGGACAATGACAGTGTTTGCCTGTGCGACAGTAATCACAACACTCAGTATTGTGATTTTGGCGTTGACTTTGACCAGCGACGGTTAAAAAATAGATCAAACTTAAAGAGAGTTGAACTAAGATGGATCATGGATCCCTTGTCTTTTCCACGGTTTTATCTCTGTTATTTTTGCAAGTGTCACTAAAAATTTTGTGTTACTTTCTTGGCCTTAATGATATGATACTTTAGTGATTAAAACTAGTTCATTCCCAGCGGATGAGAATGAAAGTATAAATAATTGGTGAAATAAAAACTTGAAAATGTTTCATAGTCTTTCATTTCATGTATCTTATTGTTCGAGATCTTATTCTCATATTCGTCTTTCGTCTGAATTTCTTAACCTCAAGGATGTTCGTGGCCATGTGAAAATCTTGTGGAAGATCAATAAATGGCTGATTCATTGACGTAAAGATTCGAAAACCCAAGATCCAATTCAAAGAAAGTTAAACACTTAAACTTTTTAAATACTACTATAAACTTAACATAAAAGAATACAAATCCAATCGGACTCTAGAATAACATTCGAAAAGAATATTGTTGTAGTTGGAATTACAACAGTCAAAATTTGTAAATAAGAATAATCGAAGAATCAAGTGGCTTTTGAGCAATAAACATAATGATTATTTCTCAGAGTGTGCTGAATAGATCAAAAATGGTTTTCAACACAAAATGTGGGAGAAAATTAGTTTAGTATCTCATTCTAAAGAGCGTATACACAAAAAATGGATAATTATAATTGTAGTGCTAGTTGTGAGTGAAAAAGATTGTCATTTGCTTGTTCCTTTGCTCTGATTTTTATACTCTAAAAGCGTTTACATAAGAACAAGACCAAAATGGATAATTGTTTAAATGTAAGGGAGAATTACTAAACTATCCTCTAAACTTATGTTTATTAATAATTTGACACACTTTTATTTTTAGGGAAAAAACCTTAAAAGTACACCACCTATATAACATTTAGAAGAAAAATACATGAATTATTTTGGTTTCCTAAAAAATACATCAACTATTAATCATTGTGTATTTAATACTCAAACTATCAATCACTTCTTTTTTAATACCCGAATTATTAAATTTCCTGTATTTACATTGTGAAAATACGACTTTACCCTCTTTTGTTTTGAAAATTCGAATTTATCTCATACAAAATTAATAATTAAAAAAGTAAAAAAATAAAGATACGAAGAAAAAAAAACCTTCGTCTTCTCCACTGAAACCCTTTCCTCTTCCTCCTTCGTTTTCGGATCCATCAGCCGTTGAATGACGGCTTCATACTCCTCGTGCAAATGCATCTCTGGTTGACATAGATATTATATCACAATTCTTTCTGTGTTTATAGGTTTTTGAGCGATGTGGGTTTGATTTGAAAACTCCAGATTCATGGTTTTATGAACAGTAATGAATTTGAAATTTTGTTCTCAGTTCTTTGTATGCAATTAATTTTGGTTTCTTGTGATTAAAATTATTGAATTTCTATATCAACACCTTCTTCCAAAGAGAAAATCTCATTTTTCAAAGATCCAAATCACAAATTCATGAAGAAGAATTTCTTTTTTTGTTAATTAGTTCACTTTTCAATAAAATATTACTTTTTTAAAATGAAAGAAATCAAATTTAGAAAATAGAAAAGGGTAAAACTGGATTTCCATAATATAAATTATGTCAAATTGTTTAAAATTCACGAAATTTCATAGTTGGAGTATTAAAAAAGAAGTATTTGATAGTTTGAGTATTAAATACACAACGATTAATAATTTATGTATTTTTTGGGAAGCCAAAATAGTTCATATATTTTTCTTCCAAATGTTATATAGTTGGTGTATTTTTAAGGTTTTTTCCCTTATTTTTAATACTAGAGTAACCTCGTATACCGATCGTGCCCTTTTGGGCTTTGATGAAAAAAAATTATTACGAAAATGCCATTACTTTTTGTATGTCACGTAAGCAAAAAGTAGCGCGAAATTGGATATACGTCTACCAATATTTGTGGTAGACTTGTTAAAATTTGGTCAACGCAAGTTTTTGTTGGTAGATTTATTTGACAGAAGGTAGATTTGTTGAAGAAATTATTACATCCAAACCCACTTTCTGAGTTTATATTACAAACTTAGTGACTTCCTACTATTTGGTGACTTAACATGATCAAAATTACCTACATACCCTTACAATTCACAAACCTTTTTACCTGTAATTATTACAAAATCGATTTTTTTTTGTTAACCTCTCTCTCTCACAAATACACCAACAATAAACAAATCTTTTTATAAATTCTTAAATTTCGTTTTTATAATTTTGTTTTCTGATAAATTCTCTTTTTTTTTCTTTTAATTCATCAACATCGTAATTGTTAAAATCTAATATAGTTTTTTCTCTGATTTCATTAAAAATATTTGAAAGCAAAAAACGCCTTCAACATGTTCGATAAAATGCGTGAGAGAAGCATATGTAAAACGTAAAATATGTTTTAATGGACATGTGTGTATAGACAAGCTATCATGGATCTGATTAATAAATATATTTTAATAGACATGTTTGTATGGACAAGCTATCATGGATCTAAACCTTGTTCATACACATATAGTTAAATAACTTAAATCTTAGACTCTTTAATGTATTAGTGGACAAGTTAGTTTGGACAAATTTTGTATGGACACGTTTGTGTGAACAATACTAGTTTAATACTGAAGGTTTTTTACAAAAAGCATAGTTAGTACAAATACAAATACACATTTGTCCATAACTCGTCATCCATGTGAGACCGTCCATGCATGAATATATGAATGTCCACAATATGATATCCACGTCTACTTGTCCATATCACTCTTGTGTGGATTAATAGCCGAATTTCATCTGAGTTTTTGGAGATTCTGGGTACATCGCAAAATTAAAAAATCATGTTTAGTTCATGAACAAAAATTGTTAATTTCAAAGTTTGAAATTAAATTTATGATTCAATCTATAATATAATATTTTTTATATGAGTATATTGGATATGGTGAAGAGATGCAAAAGAAGAAGAAGATGAAGTACTAGAGATGAAGAGATTAAATTAATGTGAGATCAGTGAGAATGGAAAAGATGATGATATAAATTAGATCTAAGAAAAAAAGAAGAAAAAACGTGAATGTAGAAGAAAGAGAAGAAGTAAGAAAAAGAAGAAAGAGAAAGTCCAAAAATGTTTGTGGAATAACAGGGGTATTTTTGGCATAAACGAGCAATGAACAGTTGAAAAAGTCCCCTTCCTACAGAAAGTCACTTAACTTGTAATTTTAACTAAGAAAGTGGGTTAGTTTGTTACAAACTCTTTGTTGAAACTTAGTAGACTTGTTTTGGTAGATATATTTAAATAGAATGGTCGACTTATTTTTTGTTGGTAGACAAATTTTTTGATGGTAGATTTGTTATCTTTAATGGTAGATTTATGAATATTCTGTTGACTTATAGTAAGTGTTTGACTTTTTTGGTAGATATAAATAGTAATGACGACAGATTTATCTTAAAATTTGGTAGACTTATTTGTAATGGTGACAGATTTATTTCCTTTGATGTACAGTAGGCTTATTTATGTTGGTAGATTTATTACTATTTATGATAACTTTATTAGAATTTGGTATATTTATTAGTATTAATGGTAGATTTAAAACTGTCGAAATTCAGTAAATAATGTGGTAGGTTTAATTACAAGTATAGTAGACTTATTAATTCTTAGTAGATTTAATAATTCTGATTTACAATCATGGTAGACTTATAATTGTTTTTGGTACTTACTCAGATAACCTCTACTTGGAAAAATATTATTCAGTTTAGAAGACTTATAAGTATTTCCGAGGATGGTAGACTTATTAACATTTTTATGTGGTAGACATTTGACTTTTTAATTATAGGAAATGATATTTTTGCCCATATTTATTCTCAATTCTACGAAAAAATCAGACATCCAATTTTGCTAAGTATGAAGTGTTTTAGTGTTTTATGGTAGATTTATTGTAACGATGGTAGATTTATTTTCTTACATGAATTTTTTTTATTAACCTTTCTATTAACGTATATTTCAATGGATATATATTCAGTTGGCAAGTATTACATTGAAAGAAAAAATATGTACGTGGTAGGCTTGATCTTGATAAAATCTCTTGTGTACATGTTATAGCCACCGCCTAAGTAAGATAAACTTCACTCATATCTACCTATGCCATTCCTTTTACTAAACGAACTGCTTGCAACATGCTTATGCGAATAGTGTAATGCCAAGAAATGTACAACTTGTTTCGAAATCTCTTGTAATAATCGATCTATCGGACTTGTACGATTTTGTGCATTTTCGAACTCTCTTGTAATAATTATTCTATCGAACTTCTCGTATTTAATGTAAAATATTTTATGGTTTAGACAACAAATATACCAAACTTTCAAAGGACCAACATCATGCCAAAAAAGCATGGTCCTTTGAAAGTATAGTTACAGCAATAAGTCCTAATAACAACTGGCCAAAAAGTCTACCGTTTGATTTACAAAACAATATAAGTCTACCATCAGTAGAACTCGACATACATAACAAGTCTACCTTCGTCTACATAACAAGTCTACCATCAGTTTAAAAATAAATCTACCAAATCTGTATTAATAATCTGTATAATAACACGCCGGATCGATGCAACAAATTCCATCGGAGACTCGTCCGTTACAGCAAAGCATATAACCTGTTAGAGAAGAACAAACAAAAGTCATCATTCATATGCAAAGTTCAAATATACCATATTAAAAATCTACCATATTAAAACGATAAGTCTACAATCATTAACAACCAAATCTACTAAACTACACAGCAAATCTACTAAATAAAAGCAAGCTTACCTGAGAGTTGTTCATGATATCATTGAAAATTGTATCTCCAACTGCACTTCTCATGAGCCCGAATTCAGTCAGTTGGCAACAATTATGGAAACTCTTCTTCTGCAGAGGTGATCTCCCAGGCGGAAATAGCGTGGGTGGGTACTCATTCGTCTTGCTAGAAGAAGTCATCTCTGCATGGATGTAAATGTAATAAGAATTAGTCTACCATTTTTAATCATTTACGAACAAGTCTACCACTCTTTATACGAACAAGTCTACCTCTCTCAATCATTTACGAACAAGTCTACCACTCTCTATATGAACATGTCTACCACTCTCAATCATTTATGAACAAGTCTACAAAT